TCGTTGAATGTTAAAGTAATTCACCATATAGAGTTAAACGAAATTTTGTTTTACGCTACTAAGTCGTCTCAATCCTGTTCGTTGTTTCAGAAATTCTGGAAGGATCCATCAGGATCTTGTCAAGTTTACCTCAGAATCCTGACTCAATTTCTAATAGTTCCTGTCTACAGTATTTCTCACAGTTACACAGGATCCTGTTCAGGATTTCTTCAGGTTCCTGCCCAGATTTATTTGTAAATCATAAGTGCAGGATCCTTACAGAAGTAATCTGATATGGATCTTGAAATAAGGATCCACTCAATTATTCCAGCTGAAACTGAGAAAGATGAAAACAAGAAACCAACATGTCAAGGGAACATCAGTAGTTATTCCTGATACTTAGTATAAGATGAAACTACAACTATATCTAGCTTCCTAAATATTTTCAAGTTCAAAAACAATGAGAATCCGTTCAGGATCATATTCAGAATCCTGTGATGATCTTGAAATCCCGTGGCTACATATTTCTTTCCGAATTTAGTCGTTTCCTAACGAAAAAAGAGCAAATCCTACCAGGATTCTGACTGGATTTTTTAAGAGTCTGGCAAGCAAACATCAAGAATTGTTTCTAAGAGATAGAAGAGTCTTTCGGTTAAAACATAATTGTTCTAGATATGATCTGCCTTTACACTGAATCTCATCTATTTGATAACAAATAAGAGACATTACTTTTTTGTCAATATCTCATAAAATTCCAACGCGTACTTCTTATCTATTTTCGCAAACAGAAACTTTTAGTCCGTAGCGATTGGAAATATTTATTTAGGCAAAATGAAGCTTTCTTTTTTTTAAATATATTATAATAATAGAAGTATTTAATACAATTTTTAAACTTTTGATACAAATAACTATCTATTTTAGAGAGATACGAGCTGGCTCAGAACACATTGGTATCTCGTTATGATCCTCGCACACATTTCGGTTAAATTGTGGTTTACATCATTATCTATTCTGATTTACCAGAAAAACTGAAAATATAGAGAAAATGTAAAGTTTGAACATTGCACAAAATAATTTTATTTATACAATACGTTTTAAAAGTAGAGGAAGTTTTACGTTGTGTAGATAACTATTTCCAATTACTAAGGATTAAAAGTTTCTGTTTTCAAAAAATAGATGAGAACTACATGTTGGAATTCTATTAGATATCGACAAAAAGTACTAGTGTATCTTCTTCTGATTTATTTTTTATTATTTCCACGCACTGTCTATACTCTTCACAAATAGTTTGAATTTTATCGATTACTCAAAGATAATGCGTTTGCTTTGTATTTGAGAAATATTCTATCGAAATTTTCTGAAACTTTGTTACTGACTCTAAAATCTAAAATATTCTGAACGCTTATGAAAAAATTTAATATTATTTATAAAATTTTGATTGGTAATACCGTTGATGACTAATGATGGAAGAAGGACACAAGCTGATCTTCTGGCACCCATGAAAAAATCTGTAAAATTCTACGTTCAAATGCATTTTATTTCAGTTTGCATATTTTCACTAGTTTCTAAATGGATGTTTTCAAAATTATTGAAATGCACTTTTTCAGTACTAACAGACAAATTGTTCGGGAACACATTTTTTTTGATAACTTATATCAGTATAAATTCATTTTGGTTCTGCAGAGTTCTGCTTCTATCATTTTATCCTAAGCTTATTCTAGGCAAACTTTTATTGGTATATCCATAAGGTTATTGAGGATCTGGAACAATAAAATAAAATTTCACCTAGGGTGCCTCCATGGATACTTAAGCGTATAGACAGATGGATATAGGATAAGAATGTAGATATCTTTTTCTGTGCCTCTATTTCTATATCCTTGTATATATGCTCTTATACTTATATCCTTACATTTACCATTGTCCTAATGGTTTTATATCTATATTCTTATAACTCTATCCTCATTTCTAAATCCCAATACTTATATCTTTGTTTCGATACCATTACAACTATGTACTGATCACTGCACTCATATATCTATACCCTTATCTCTACAGCGTTACCAATATATCCTTATACATATGTTCTTACACCTAGCCTATTGTATGTATCATCTGAAACCTATATTCCTACACCTATGCCCTAATTCTTGCCCCATTATATCTATGTGCTTACCCATATACTCTTATAATCACATATTTATATTTATAGCTTATAACTTTACTTCAATACTAATATTCCTATGTACGAGTCACGATAGTTATACTCTTAATCCTATATGTGACGAACTGTGAGACTGCACCTATGACCATCAACATGATGGTGTATTGTGTCATCTGCACATCTCTAGTAAGTCGTGCTCTTTTTTCGTTTACATTAACTTATATGGCAGAAAGAGAGAGTACGGCTGAGTGAATAGGAACAAAGAACAAACAGTCACACAATTGAAAGAATGAGAGATAGTCACAAGATCAACACGTGAACATATAAATATAGAGAAATGGATATTTATACGAAGTGAAGAATAACGGTCATGAAAACCACTACACTGTAGTCTATCAGATTATTTTTATACAAGTTTTTTTTCTCATAAAAGTGTGAATTTTTCGAATGAAACTCACTATCTCTTCAAGACAAATGTAAATGTCTTTTATCGTTAGAAGCACCATTTATTAATTGATTTAGCAAATTGAAAAAGAACGATTAATACCAATCCAAAAGAATACTTCAATTACTAACTAGGGAAACATGAATATTTCTGTAAAATATTTCTCAGACAGAAACATTCTGTCTTTTACTTTCTTTAAGTTTGACTCAGCTTTACTGTGACATTATCAGTTCATCAATATATAATAAGAGATATAATGACTAATAGATACGTGCTTTCATCATAAGCTCGTTTAATTCTTGAAAGAATGGAACTTAGAAAATTATATGAAGAAACAAAAAAAGGCGACAATAAAAATATAATCATGCTTATTATTTGTATTACTCATATATTATGTTGCAAAGAATTGAAAAAGTTACAATCGTTGAAGTACATAATTCATCAAATAAATTTTATACATATTCAAACTGCTATGGGGGGAACTAACATTTCTTGACGAACTATAGAAAAAAAAACCAATAAATGAAAAAATTAATATAATATAATATGAAAACAATAAAAAATGAGCTATGTCATTCTTTTAAAATTTCATCTCTTTGAATGAATTAAATATATCATAATAACAATGCTAACTATGGGTCATTATAGTTTTTATTAAAAACTACAAGAGGCACCCTATGCTGAATTGCTGTACAGAAAAAAGCTTAACTGAATTGTTATCCAAACATCAATTTATCGCGAGTTGGTGTTGGAGTACTGGTTTATATAAAAAAAATTTTGATGGGCAACTTCATTTTTCTTTTTCTTTCTTTTCCTCGTGCTCATATGATTATAATTAGGCGCTAACTAGGAAGCAAATCGATTTCGATATTGATTGAAGCTTGGGAACAGAAAACACGACCATAAGCATATATTATCGCTTATTGCGTAGNTATCATCTAGCTATTTAATAACATGTTTTATCAAATTTAAATTCGGTAAAAAAAAGTCGGGACTCAAAGGGTTAAAAAACAATCGTTCAACAGCATTGGTGTTAGCAGATGCAAAACGCGTTAAACTGGTCAGCATTAACGTGTTTTTTCGCAGAAATTTACTCCGTGGGCTTTTTTTTGGTCACTAAATATATTGCGTCTCTTCTTGTGAAAATGATTTTTGATTATTCAGTTTCAAATATGGATTCAACAAATATAAATTCAATTTTCTAATTAATTAAAATATATGTTTCATTGATGTTTAATGTATATCCTTTATTGAAGATGGAAGATATTTATATTATTCATAGAAATTATTTTAACATTCGTGCGAAAGAAATTCTGTGTAAAGTAACATTTTAAAAAAATTACTAGTACATCCAATTTTTTATGTAGAAATATTAGACTTGTTTCTAATTAATCTATGTCTTCCATCATGACTGATTACATGAAGAAAAATAAAAATCTTTAAAAAAAAGTTACATGACACCATTTAAAATAGTTTGTTGTTTTCAAGCTGAAAGTTGGCTGCAGAACAGATTATTTATTCTTTTCTTATTTAATGAAAAAAGAACGAAGACAGTACTCACAAAAACGTTGATCAATATTACGCAGTTATTTTTGATAGTTGATACTTTTCTTTTTAATACTTGTAGCATAAAAACGAATGTGCACTTAATCATCCAGATGAAAAGAAAGATGAGTGTTTTTTTTTCAAAAAAACTTTCACTGCTACATACGTCTCGAGTGATATTGTTTTTTTCTCCTCTTAATAAAGAACAATCGCATCTATATAAGTAATGGTAAATCTGACTTCGATTGAAAAACAATACATCCGGCTTATTTTTGTCTTAATGTGCAGAGACATAGAAATAATATTTTCGAGGAAAATATGTGTTCTATCGAAGATGGTGTCGATGTTGATCAACGTTTTCAATAGATAGTAAGAGTAGGATGCTTTTTTTCGTCATCAAAATGTATAAAACTCAAGTTTTCTCACACTATAAAAAAACCAAAAACTACGTACGTAGACAAAAATCGAAATAGAAGAAACATCTCATTATAAGTGAAAAAACTCCTCCTTCAGCATTCTTTCGTTTCTTATTAAAAGGTTTGATTTTGCAGGCACTAATATTAATTAAGAGAAGGTCTTCAATCGCATTCAAATATTCAATATCTAAACTTCCCAGCAATATCAGTTATTGATGATATGTAAGATAGTGTTATCATTTTTTCCTAGACTTTAAAGATTTTGTTCTCATTTCTAACAATAGTAATTTTTAAGAATCGATTGATTCTGTTCCACCACATAAGTGCTAAGAGTGTTGTCACTGCACAAAAGTGTTTTCAGGTGATTCATATGCTATCTTTTTCTTTGTAATCAATTCCAAAAATATTCTGTTTTCTTATTTCAGATTCAATAATTCTTTATTAACATAAAATAATGAAAATATTTATACACTGTATTCTATTGCTAGTGATGTTAACAATATCATATAGAACATGTGTTTCTGCAGAAAATAAAATTCTATCAATATCTGATGGACTTTCATTTGGCTTTTGTCGTAGTTATTGTCGTCGATCAATAAATATAACATCAAGTCCAAATCAATTAGTTGCTTTAAAAGAACCAAATTTTCCTCAAGACACCTATCCACCTATGGAAAAAATCTTTCCCTTTTCTTTAAATGAATGGACAGAATTAATCCAATTAATTGATACTGAAAGTTTTCTATCATTAGATGATCGTATTGGATGTCCTGATTGTGCAGATGGAGGAGCTGAATGGATTGAAATACACTGGACGGGCAAAACTAAACGAGTTACATTTGAAAATGGAGCTTTAATAAAAGGTTTTGAAGGACTTGTTATTCAATTAAGAGATATCAGAAATAAATATACTGAAAATCTTTAAAAAATAAAAATAAAATTATTTACTGCATTACATCATTTAAACTTTTGTCTTACGCAACTTAATCATGATCCTAGAAACTTTGATATATTTGAGATGTATGAAGTTCTTGCAATTGATTTTCTGCAACTAAGAATAGGACATAAGTTCACAATCAACAACAAATTGAATTACAATTTTTCATAGTGTTGTGGAATATTTTGAAGGAACTAACGTCAATTCATTGATCGACGATTACACATTCACATTCAAACATGATAGGTTTCTGAATATTGTGATCCTCGTTACTGGTTGAAAGTAATTGTAAAATCTTTTTTTCTCGTATAAGATTTTTTTAGGTTTGCGCCTTTAGTCATCTATCAGTAAAGTGACTTCAGTTTCTACAAAATTTTATGAAAGTAGGATTGACTATATACTATTCGATGCATCTAAAAAAAAGCTCTACAATACTAAGTAATTAATATGTAATGTTTCATTGAAAATGTGAGAGCCGATCTCAACAAACAACTCATACCCTACTCAGTGAACAGGAACTGATTGATTTGAAAAAAATATCTAAAGGATGAGTGCTTTTTGTAAAGCAATATTCGATTCTGATCATACGTTAGTTTTAAAGCAAATATCTACTGAGCTCTATTTTGTGCATTACACTCTAAAAATGGACTCGTAATAGGATTGATGACTGTTTATTATTGTTTGAAAACTGTGATGTGCCAAAAAACTTGATGATCGGATCTCGATCAATCCCATAACGAATCAGAAGAAAGTGGATGCTAGTTAAAAAATTCGAATTTATTTTTTGAAATATATGTAACAAAAATGACTAACATCACTTTTACATAACTTTTTAATAGAAATAATCGATCACGACTGGTTGAGCAAGTAGCTCCCCTTGATCAACAGCTAAATTGGCAAAGAGAATATCGTGAGATGATGGCACAGAACTGTTTTCTAAGGCTCGATTTTCTTCACTCTTATATAGACTAGCACCAAAATCATCGTGCAAGTGACCAAAAAGATGAATACGAGGTTTAACTCTTGTGACAATTTCATCGAATAAACCTGCACAACCTAAATGTTCTTCATTCATTGGATTAAAATCTCGAATACTGTACGGTGGGCTATATGTGAGAAGTATATCGATATTTTCTGGAATCCGTGTCCATTTATGTGCTCGAATACGTTTAGATTTATAACCGAACGCATTAGATCGATATACAAATCCACGTTTCGGATGCCATGGACTACCATAAATCCGTACACCTTCAATATCGATAAGTTGATCTTGCAGGTAAGTCATATTGCTCAGTATTTTTTGAGTACGATCTGGTCGTCGAGGATTAAGGGATACACAATGATTGCCACTAATGAATAGTTGTGAGCATGCGGAAGAGTACCAACAAACTCATTGAACTTGATTAAATCACGAGCACTTGTTCGATATTTGACGGCATCGCCACAATGAACAAAGACATCATCAGGTGGCATTGTTAGTTTGTCAATTCGATTGTGAGTATCAAATACACAAACAAAACGTAAACGTTTATGTGACTGAGTGCCAACTGAATAAGGATCACGATAGACTACCAATGGATTATTTTCTGTGCCCGCACCAATTGTTTTGGATAAATTTCAATCGATTGTTGTGTTTTCCCAATATGGAACATTATTCAAATGATGAACAACCGCTTGTGAATGATTTCGGGCACGTAGAACACCTACCCTAATAATAGACAAAAAAAATCATTTTGTTAATTTAATATCTAAAAACCATTTTATAAGGATCCAAACTTACAAAGATAGTCTGTTATATGTTGATATTTTGTTGAAAAGAAACATCCATGAATTCCTGAAATTGATGTGTGAGGCAACAAGAGCTCATATTTATAGAAGACTATTGAATCGAAAGATAAGCAGCTCAATGTGACTCATTTTATTATTCAGCTACCAATATTGCGACAGAAATAAAAAAGACAACTATTTCATTCACTAGATCAACACAAATAAAGCAACAAGGGACTATTCAAAACTTTCTACGCAATGATCTCGTCATCTTGTGTTGATAATATATGAAACATAACATAGTCAAGCATTACTCGTTGTGTTTAAAGATGTACTTGACACAAGTCGTCTTAGTTGTTTCGCTTGTCCATGGTGATCTTATCAGTATCTGTGACAAATATTTTATCTAACTATTGACAACACAATATTGTTGTAAGAATTAGGTATGAGTAAGAGATTAATAGAATTCTCACACACAGATACACCCTCAATCGATACAGAAATGACAAATAATGATGACGATTTCATATTGATATGAGAATATATAACACTAAATAAGAGTAAAGAAATGCAGATCTCTTTTGCATACCTACACATTCAATTTTATTAACCCTTTGAGGACGGAATTTTTTTAATAGAGAAAAAGTATTTTTCAACCTTTTTGTTTTATTTTAACTAGGATGTGGGTGTGGGTCTTCTCATTAATCACAGCCGCACCCACACACCCCACACCCACACCTACACTCACATCCTCACCTACACCCACACCCTCACTTTTCTCATATGTTGATCAATTATCTAGATTCATAAATAATAATCCTTCGTTCATATTGTCAACTATTTGTTAACTGGTTGCTATTTGAGAATAATCTTCTTAACAATAGTTGATCAAAATATGTTAATATTGATTTTTTAAAATAGTTCTCATGATCAAACTTTTAGATAATTCAAATGAAAATATCATTTGAAACATTTGAACTTATTGATAAACATATCGCAAACGAAATAAAATATATCTTTATACGTATTAACTTTATTGGTTGTTTTACTATAATATTGAAAGTTGAATCGTTTATTTATTTATATATGTAAATATATGAAAATAATATTTTATTTGACATTAGATTTTCTTAAATCAATAACAACATTATCTTATTTTATTAAACATAGATAGAATGTCACTTCTTGGGTGTGGATCTTTCCATCCACATCCACAGCCTAGAATCAAGTTGTATGTCTGAAAAGCCGTTAACATTTAGGTCGAATGAGAATGGACGCAGGTTCTCATTCACCAACTTATAAAAAGGGTTCTTTATTTCTCGATTCGATTCGAGCTACATCAAAGACAATTTAGATGAAATTATGAAGAAATAGACATGTGATAATCTTTAATAGAGATTATATACAATTCAAGTTTATATTTTTAATAGAATTAAGTAAATATTAACCATCGATGACATGCATCACTTGATAGGATACTTGTACGAAGTATACAAACTAAACATAAGATTTTTATGACGGTACAACAATAATCAAAAGAAAGAAATGATGCACTTATGACGAGGCCATATCTGACAACATATAAATGAGTCATGTAACTTTGTTATTTATAAGTAGAATCTTTATTCTCTTCTTTCATTTCTTATCATTGTTTTTACGTATTTATTTATGTGGTTGTTATATTATTTCATAATATTATTACATTGTGCTATTGTATTCTTGTATACAGTGCTTCTTTTTGTTATGGCTAACAACTGCAGTTCTCGACAAGGACAGCTTTTTGATGACTATTCAAATTCAGATATTAACTTATACTTCGCATCACATGATGACATCGACGAGTTGTGTAAAGTAATTAATTGGGCATATAGAGGTAAACCTTCAGTATCGTTGCCTGGAGAAAATTACTCGGGTTGGGTTAGTGAACAACATTTACTGAAAGGCGCACGAATTACGTCTGAAGAACTTCGACAGTTGATAGATGATGAACAACATGCTGTTGTTCTTGTTGCAAAACTTAAGACGCCTTCAGAGCGAAAAATCGTTGGCTGTTGGAAAATTAGCACATACGATAAAAGTTTGCAAATAACTGACGAAGAAAAACAGGATGTAGCTGTTGAATTTGGTTTGAATGCTGTGGATCCTGATTATCAAAGCCGAGGCATTGGAACATTGTTGTATAATGGAGCCATAGTAAGTTTGACATTGATCTGCATTCACTCAACACAAGAAGTAATACTCTTGATTTTTTAGCGTATTGCAAAAGAATATTTCAATGCACAACGGGTTTATTCTCGTATAATACGGAGTAAACGAAATCAAATTGAATGGTGCTTACGACAAGGTTTTATAGATACAGGACGATTGATATCGTTCCCACCCGAAGTGCAACGTCAAGCGAAAGTAGATCTGGACGAACTTAAAGTTTCTGTTTTAACAAAACGCTTACAATAAAATACAATCTATACAGATAGATGAGTCTGGCTATAATTTGTGAAGTATTCATGACATAAATGAATCACATACGCAAAAAAATTCTCAACAGGACATAAAAATTCACTTCAAAAGTTAGAGTGTGAGTGTGGATGAGCGAAGGTGTGGGATGTTAGTGTCAAACATCATTCCCATCAGTTCATTCTAATTTGCGTAGTTTATGTAATGATATTGATGCTGTATATAATTCCATAGAAGAATATTCGAACGTATTAAGGTGTGGGCGTGTGCGTGTTGGTATCGTCCTCATACACCACACAGCCACAGTCACACCCAAATCCTGAAGTACTTCCCGTGTACTTCAGCACTCGTATCACACAACTGATAATTATTCTAAACGACTAAGCTACTTCTTGCAAACATCAAAGCTGTCTTCTGAGCACGATCAAATTCTGTTCAACATTATGCCAACTTGGTGGATACTATGATGTTCTGCTCAGAAATATGCGTCCTTCTAAGCACTACATATTGCTGAAAACACATGCCACTATGTACAACGCGTTGTCGCAAAGTTCCATTAGATTCAGATCTTTCAAGGACTTTAATAGATGAAACGTGAGCTCGGACCGAAAATCTGGACTGAAATTCATATTACTCCTTTGAGTAGTAAAAAAATTCAATCGATAACTTCTCAAGAAAACTATGCCAGTAATACTGAGAGAAAACATTTGGATTCTATCTTTGTGAAATTTATTCTTCTCTGACGTCAACAACTATAAACGACGTGAGAAACTTTATTTTGAAGATCGGATTACCGTAAAGCTCACTGTTGAAAATGTATGATATAGAATTACAAGCGACAAGTTTTATTGATACAACTCGTTTACTATATTGATAATAGGTAAAAAAGCAGAATGGTATATAAAGATAACTCGCATCGTTGAAAATATTCATTTGTTTGACAATTGAACAGATTCCAAAGTTACACAATAATGTCTAATTTTTCGTTCTTCATGATTCTTTTGGTTATTGGCAGCGCCTCAGGTAAAGATCAGTTTCTTTTAAGACATGCTTTTGATACGGATCATTATTACTGATTTCGTATAATAATTATTCCATGAAAATTCGGAAGATTGCTATATGTTCGAATACGATCTTGTGGGTGAATGTGGGTGTGGATGAGTGTATATGTGAGTTTCCATGTGTAGAGTTTGTGATGTCTAGATCAGACGTAGACTGTAAAATCAATCTGCAAAGTAATCAGTCGTTTCACGTTGCTAATTTTTTCATAAATCCTTGAAGAATTTTTGAACCATGAGCATCTAGGAAGATAAAACGAGGTTGTGACTCATATTTAGCAATATATCATTCGACGTTCCTATTAGAAATATTTATTATTCTCCACATAAAGGTAGAATATTCTACGTTGCCGCTGGAAGGATCTATTATTCAGAAGGCAAGATTATACGGTGTGCATGCTCTTCGCCGAAAAAGGCAATATCGAAAACATTTTTTAGCCACGCAGAACACTGCAAAGGTGAGGGTGAGGGCGAAATGCATTGATCTCATCATGCTTAACAATTCTATGCCCGAGTTAAAAGGCTCGCAACGGTCTGCATTATTCACGAGCCTTTCAATTAATCGCTTTTCGGCGAAGAGGCATACAACCGTTTAGTATTAATGATTAATAGATGCACTACTCAGTTTTATTAGTATTAATTATGTTGTAAATTTTGATGCCTAAGTTATGAATACTTTGACATTTCTGTAAGCAGCGATCTAGAATGATTGTTGTTGTCCGTTTTAGTTAATTATTATATGGTTATCTACCACCATAAATAAAAATAGAGAAAGACATTTATAACAATTCTTATACGACTATTGTACGAAGCATGCTGTAGTCACTTCATTGATAAAATAAAGACCTTCATGAAATAGGAAAATCTATGATAATACTCAACAAAGCGGTGCTTGATTTTTAAGTCGTGTCATACAATCGACCAAATCTCAGCGATTGTGCATCATGGAATGAAGATGTGATTACATTTGCAGATAAGAATTGGATTGGACAACAACCTACTGGTGTTTTCGTTGATGATCAAGATGTTATATATGTTTCTAATCGAGAAAGTAGTCAGATTTTAGTATGGAATAATGGGTCGTCGACTCCAACAAGAATTATTTTGACAAACTCGACTAATCCATGGAATCTTGTTGTCACAACCGATGGTGACATTTACGCCGATCATCGCAATGATAATGGTCACGTCGATAAATGGATATTCAACGTAACACAAAACAAGCTTGCAATGAATGTAGATGGTTGGTGTACGCGACTTTTTGTTGACAAGAATTATACTTTGTATTGTTCTTCGATGCATGGCAACCGTGTTATTAAGATATCACTCAACGATGGACAAAACTTACCGATAGTCGTGGCTGACACGGGATATCTTGGTCCTGTGTCTGATACACTCGATCATCCACACGGAATTTTCGTTGATGACCAACTCAACTTATACGTAGCTGATACAGATAATAACAGAATTCAATTCTTCACATCTGATCAAAAAAATGCAATAACAATAGCTGGATTCGGAGCAACAGTTCTATTCCTACTCAGTACACCGACAAGTATTGAGCTCGATACTGATGGTTATCTATTTATTGTGGAAAGTCAAAATCATCGAATTATCCGATCAATTCTAAACGGATTCCAATGTTTGGTTGGATGTTCTGGTAACAGTGGACCAACATCGAGCCAACTGAATTATCCACAAACTATGACTTTCGACACGACTGGAAACATATTGGTGAGCGATTTTAAGAATCATCGAATTCAAAAGTTCCAGTAAACTAGAAATTCATGTGGTATGTCTATTTCAATTGTGATTGACGAAGAAATGTTTATTGGTTCTCAACAAAGTCTTATTTGAGAAAAGCCAATTAAATTTGCCAATGAATTCCTCTGCTTTGGGTACACTTCAAGACAGTTGTCATAAACTTAAGACTTCAAAAGTATTAGAAGTTTGAATTTTCATGTGAAAACATAGACTATGTAATGTCCATTTCTAATTAAAAGAAGGGTGATTGTTTTTTAAATAACTTTCGAACCGTTATAGCTATCGATCTGCGGTTTTCACCATTAGAAAGATCATGTGATTCCGCATCTTTTGATATAATGGAAATTATTTCAACTCATAAGTTTGATCAGCTGACAGTGAAACTCGAAGAACCAATAGAAGTAATATGAAAAATGTATAGAATTTCAATTATGTAGAGTGCATTAGATACCTCTACCCAAGATCTACAATTCTGAACAAACCCGAAACTTTTATCTAATTTCGTTCAAAAGTTATAGGTCTTACAAAAATNCCGCCCCCTCTCCCTCCGAGGCTCACCACCACACCCTCACCCACCCACACACTCACCCACTCCCACACCCACACCCACACCCACACCCACACCCACACCCACACCCCACACCCTTCATACTATTTTGTTGGTTATCTCTACCTGAACAAAACAAAATAATCATAAGAAGAGCATACAAAAGAAGATTAGTGTTTTTTTCAAATCAACTTTGTTGATATATTTCGCAAGTTTAATTCTGAAGTAATGAATAAAAATTTGATGAAATATAAACAGTATCAATAAGAGAAATTGATGAAATAATTGATTCAGTTGTAGAATCATCTTCGAATAAACGATATCAACTTGATATTAAGTCATAATCGAATATATAACAAACACAGATAAGATTTGTTTGCATACAATAGAATAAGTAGTCATAGATTGAACGATTCTTGTTGATATCATCTAAATATTATTTTTCGGCTGAAATTCTACAATCACTATATTCAATTTCCTTATTGATCGCTAGAATTAAAACGACGAGAAGAAGTAGAAATAATTCATTAAAAAGCGTTGACAGTCTAATTGTCGAAGAATGTTATTTGTGTTATTTGGCTTCAAATATGTTTTCCTAATAATAGACTTTATATTTGAGTATTGTTATGTATGATATGAGTTACTTAATATAATACAATTAAAAACTGGTGGTGCAACATATGTTTGTAAAGAAGATGATAAATAGGCATAGTTTCTACGAGCTCTATAAACTTTGCTTAAGGTTTTTTTCATATATATATTTTGTATAGTAACTGTTCCTTAACTAAGAACTAAAAGATACACAGATAACAGTGTGAATACAAAAATGTGTTGATTGAAACATTTATAATCGCTGTATTAGTTATATTCATACTAGTGTATTACCACGCTATCTTAAAACGTGAAATAGTGATCTTAAAATGGCGTAGGTAACTCAATAACTTGGACGATAGTTTCTTAAATTTTTCTTGTTAGGCGAACAATAGATCGATAAAGCCGTGTATATGAACGGCATGCCGATGATGTGATAAACAAGAACCAAATTAACATTTTTTTTGTCATCCAATTTAAAGATTAAAATTTTTCACTAATGTCGAACCAATCTTTTGTAAACTTACATATGAAATCAAACATGAACTATATACTTCATTGCATCTCAGACATGTGCATACAAATCAAACCATAGTTTTCAAATTAACTTTTTTTTTATACTTAAGATTAGTGATGCATTTCGTCCTTCGTATTAAATTTTTTTTTCAATCTAATGTAAAATCAATATTTTTCCATTAACTATTCACGTATTCGTCATTCAGACATCAGTGTATTGTTGATAATAAACGTTCTTGGAAAAGAAACTGTTCTCACCATTTACAGAAATCGAAGAACAGCGTCAAAACAACAAATCATTCTACCTCTATTAGATTTATCTATTCTTTTTAAGGGTATCCCCCACCTTTCCCAACGTGAAAATAAAAATTTTTTCGATTTTTTGTTTTTCAGTGCTAACACTCATGTTTTTACTGCAAATAGAGCTTGGTAAATCATGATTGCAAGTACCAATCCGAGGTCGACCGGCTTTAGTGCAACGAATTTCGGTTGAAAACACTATTTTTTTCCGTGTGCTCCAAACAAGGCTTTTTGAACACTTTTCTGGTTCTCCACCATTTCAATGCATCAACACCCATTTTCTTATTAACAAATAAGGCTCCGTATGTGTATATTGTGTCACAGACAGAGTACTCCAATCTGTTGCAATCTTGAGGCGTGAAGAAGCTTCCATTGTCTGAAATGGTCTCAGCATATATCTCCTCTATATCGATGGCTACAATTATGAAATTTTCAGGAAAACTTGAATAGAGGAGAACACTTATTGGAGAAAATATCAAGACAAATGTTTGAAATTAGTCGGAGTTATAGGTCATATTTCGACGACTCTCTTTAACTCTCACATAGAGATCACTCAATGATAACATCAAATTAGACAAACTCAAAACCATTTAATACGAAATTTTCATTGGTAATAGAGACAGCCCTGAGCTTTTCAATACTATGTTAAGCGAAATGAGATTTGGTTCTTATGCTGAAATATCATCCTCAGAAGAAGTCTATGTTGATGTGCTAGCTCTTTTACATGAAGGTCGATCAAGTTCTGACGGGCCCTTGTGATTAGGGTTCACCAAGGTCTATTTGTAGTAAAAGTATGATGACTCATCCCGAATGGCATTAAATTGGCCGAAAGAAAAAAAAGCGAACGAAAAAAAGTAGAGAAAAAAATGACGAAAAAGAAAACAGCGAATATAAAAAATGGCTAAGAAAAAAAATGGCGAAAACTTCATAGTAAAAACATAGAACACTGATGATGTTAGAATGGCGAAAAAGTTTATTTTAACATTTTTGACTAGCGAGATGAAAATATTTTATTACATTCAAAAATGTAATAGATGCCAAAACAGGGTATTTCCGGGTTGTAAAAAACTGAGTGCAGGCTGGGTTTGATCACTCAAGAGTCTGATTGAAAGATTGTCAGTGAGATTAACCGAATTTATGAGAAGTTGAGAAACTTTTTGAGAAGTATTGAGCAAAAAGACGAATAAAATATTGGAGATTTTCTTGAAAAAAACGAAAATATCGAAATTAGGGGGAATCAACTGCAGTTCAAAACATTCCTGTTGTTAGATGCCAACAAAAAATAGGTTTGCGAATCTATGTTGTCAGTTATGAGGGAACAGAATGTTGGTGTGAGACGTGACAATAAGATATAGACCTAATTGAAACTACGAACCACCGATCCAGATCCGCATCTTCAAGTCGATACCAGTACAGAACTGAAAGATATAGTGTCACTTATCAATGTCTAGAACATTTTCGATGTTTTTAGTCAAATTTATATTTTCACTGTTTTGATATGGTTGACATTTTTTCTTTCGTCATAATTGTTTTCACCATTTGTTTTTCGCCTTTTTTCGTGTCGATATCTTCGTTTTCGCTAATTTTTTTTGAGTCATTTTTTTTTGGCTATTTTTTCTTTCGGCCATTTTGATACATTCTCATCCCTATATAATGGTAGACTATTATTGACAATTCTATTCTTGACAAAACATCATCATTCATTTATGAACAAACTTGACGATGATCAAAGGTCACAATATTCAACATCGAGCTATTTAATATTGTCATTATTGACGACGTCAGGTATGATACAGAATGAACATAAACATATGTATATATGTAAGACTGTATACACGATATTTGTCATTTATAATTGAATATGAACCATTCAACTGTTAATATCCTTACTTTATGCGATGAGATGTTGCTTGTTATTTTCAACAAACTCAATAATATTGATGTATTATATTCACTCATAGGAGTCAATCGAAAACTCGATAGATTGGCTCGAGACATTACTTTTACACAATCTCTTGATTTAGTAACAATATCATCCAATAAAAATAATGACTCAAGAAATAAGTCAATACTCGATCGATTTTGTTTTGATATTTTACCTCGAATTCAACATAATATTGAATCTCTTACTCTTGATCCATTGTTAATGGATCGTGTTCTTCGCATTGAAAATTATTCTAAACTCCATAAAATTAATCTTGTTATTTTTCAACTTGAAGTGGCATCTCGCATTCTTAATGGTATGTTATCTGTTCTCTTAATCTTCAAATAATGAAACCAAATTGATTAATTAATTTTATATATATATTTAGACGAGTCATCAATTATTCACATCTTTAAAGATCAAATTTCGCATCTTACTGTTACGATTAAGCATGACAGCAGAGCTGTACATCGAAAGAAATTCTTCAAAAATGTTTTTATCACTGTTTTCATTATGTTTATAAATCTAACTTATCTTCATTTCGATGTAAAAGACATGTATCTGTATTCACCAATATCACTTATTGATTTACCGTCTACAACATGTTATTCATCAAGCATTGTCTATTTGAATGTTAGCGTGCGCAATTTTGATGATTGTCTTTGTTTACTTGATGGACGTCTTAGTCAATTATATACACTTATTGTCAAAGTTTATCTTATTCAGAATACGTCAATGATTATCAATAATACGGTAAGATTGTTTTCAATGATAGTGAAAGAGTTTCATGCCGCCTTTCGATAGAATGATAAACAACTTGTGGCAAGAAATAGATTACTAAATATATGAATAAATTTAAAAATACGGTGTTTATATAGTGATAGTACTGTATAACAAATACTATTAAAAATAGTATACAATTTAAGTAAATGTCCTAGAAGTTTTTTTTATTTAATATGAAATCAGTAGTTAGAAACTCTTTTTTTGAATGAATTTGACTTTATTAGAGAAAACAAAAAGTAAACATTAGAAAAACAGACTTACCTAAGAGGAATATTTTTTGAGAGACTTTATAAAGTATGTAAATAGAATATTCGTTGAACTTCGTCTTTCAATAACTTCATAGAGTTTGTTCATGTATCAATTAGATAGTTTCATCATTGTTAGTATGAAGGAACATTATTTTGAGTTTTTCCTTTTATTCTTCGAATTTTCAAAATCGTGATCGATGGAAAAAATTATGTTATCGTAAATAGGTTTAGATATTTGACACTTATAGATTCTACAAAATCTTATCAAACCAAGAAGTGAAATATCAAATGATAAGAAAATATTTATCGGATAATTAATTTTGAAAGTTCAAGGTTATGAAAATAAAATTTGGATGTCATAGTCTACATTAAATGTCACCAGTTTTCGCAGAAAGAATGAAAGAATAGTGATTAAATGAGAAGATCCTGTTATACACAGTCATGTATCAATATATTTGATCAAATATTAAGCTGTGAATTGATGGACCATAGAGAGAATGAATAAGATTACAGTTATTTGAATACCTGGTTAGAACTAACTACTCTTGATTGAATTATTAATTTCACATTATTTGATATTTATGTTAATTTTTTTTTTAGAAAACTCTATCGAATTTAAAATGTTTCTCGTTGATTTCATTTCGTCGAACAATTGCAATTGAATATGATAATCAAATTTTGCCACTCCTTCGTCAAATGTCACAATTAGAAAAACTTACATTATATCTTATTGTTCGTAATCGAATTTCATTTATTGACGGCACTCATCTAGTTAATGACATCCTTAGTAAAATGTTATATCTACATACGTTTATCTTCAACATCATCACTGGAAATGTCATAATGGATGCAAAATTTTTACCAACACCTGATGATGTTGTACGTCCACTCATCGAAAAAGGATATAATGTTAACTGTTATACTGACTATAGTGATTTTAGCGATGGTAAATGCCATATTTATTCACTTCCGTTTACTATGGATCGCATGCATATACATTCTAATAAATTTGCTGGTGGTTTATTCATGACTGTTCGTTACCTATATCTACAAGATTATGTTCGTTCATTTGAACATGATTTCTTTGCTGGAATCTCTCGAGCTTTTCCATTACTAGATAGATTGATGATATTTAATCTAACTGAACAAAAGAAATTAACACATCAAGATGAACAAGAAACATTTTCGATTATTGAATTTTCTCATCTTACCTTACTCGATCTCACTATGTGTTATATCGACTATGTGAAACAATTTCTTTTCGATTTCAACACACGTCTACCTTGTCTTAAGACGTTATATATTAAATATGAAGACTTGATGATCGTAACAGAATGTTTCACCAACAATGCTGCTCGTGCTAACTGCTCAAAAGTGGAACTTATTATCTTTGTTTCAAAACCAATGATATATCCAGAAAACTTTCACCTTTATTTTCCTTTTGTTGTAAATAAAATTTCTTCTTAATTCAATTGTAATATTTTATATGAATCAAGAAAATAAAGAAGCAATGAAAGTGATCTTGATATAACTGGTTATTTAATTGTACATGGCGTTGATATGCAACTTGTTCGAGATGAAAATTATATATATATATATGTATATGATAAGATTTGTTCAATTGAAGTGCGTACTATTGAATTGATCAACGAAGCAAACAACTCAAATGTTCTGCACGACAATACATTGATTCTTCGATAATGTTTATTCGGAGAAATTTTTCTAATGAAATAATATTTCCAACATGACTTGATAATTAGAAATTTAAAATAAAGTAGTATTCTCACAATAATAAATCAACTTTGTGACATCTCACAGTTTAATTGTTTATTAGTACCAAATCAAAGAACGAATGACTAGTTTCTTTTATATAAACTGAAACTTATGAACGAGTTCATCTTATCTAGCTAGACTCAAAATAGATGTTCAGTAATCTTTGCTCATTTAAAAACAGTTAATAGACAGTAGAGGTAAGCACATAACTGGTTCTGTAATCTCGTTTGCTTTATATGGAGTTAGATGAATGAACTTTATAGCAAATAATTAAATCGTTAATCAAAAGTTTGAAGTCGATTTATTCAGTTGAATTTAATAAGATATCTTAAAGTAGAGGAGAGTCAGAAATCAATTCTACGCAGGGTTAATTATTTCATCATCTTTATCAACTTCTGTTCTTGACATTGTTTACATTTCGTTAAGTCTTTATTCATCAATTCATAATCAATCTGTCAAGCATGTCAACAAAATCGATATGCAGTTTGTTTGACAAATATAAATATACATGTCAATATTCAATACATACTGGAATGGATTAGCTGGTGCATTAGAATTATTTGAAAATGATACATTTGAGTAATCAATTACATGCTGATCAGATTTAAATCTCACTTGTAGAAGTGCATATTGTAATGTAGAGTTTCAAAACTATTTACTATCAGTTTTCTACAGTAAACTAGAGTTCTGCGGGGGTTCAACTTTTGGAACCCATACCCGTTCCAACATTTTGAACTGTACCAGAGCCCGAATCGATCCAATATAGTTGAACCTGAGCTTCACCCGACCCGAACGTAAAATCCTATTGGCCATTTATGCTATATTAATTATTTTCTTCTACTATGGTCGTTCGATAGAAACTGAAAGTCTTTTATAAAGATACAGAATATACATATAATTGGCACCAAGAAGATCTCATTAATTCTAAAACGATTTCAGAATATAGAGATTACCGTGTCGATTGAATGACAAATCATTCTGAGTAATAGATTTAAATAATTTCTCTAATTTATTTTTTCTATTCAGTAATAAATATGTATCTTATTCATCTTTTCCTTCAATTAATTTATCGTTTTGGAAAGAATAACAAAAATCCTTACTCTTGATTGATTTTGTTTTTATATAAATAAAAGTGATGAAATAAACGACTTTTAAAAATCTTTATTATAGAAGAACTGATCTTTACTTTCTCACATGAAGTTCATATCTAAAATGCATGGCAATATGTGCACTTTTCTAATACTAATAAAGAAAAAAAACGTTTTTAAAATTTGATGTAAAAGTTAAATAATAATGGATCAGTTGTTATCTTGATAATGTGAAATTTAATAACATTAATGATCACCTTGTGGATTATTCATTGTAGTTGTTGGACAGTATTGATCATGATTTGGTTTGTCCAAACAGTACTTTCGACAATATGCATTTACTACAGAAAAAACAAATTTTTAGTGCAATACGACTTTTAACGTATAATTACCATAATAAAGCCATATTTTTAATAAAATATCCTGACAAAATTCAATACGACCTTCTTCATAATCTTTATTTTGCTCATTTTGTTGTGCATCACTTGCTGCTCCATTATTATTTCGTTCTTGAGTATCTGCAATTAAACCATCACGACGTTGATTACGTGCCATTAATTCATCATTTCTTAAATACCTTGCTACTGGACGACTATATTGTTGTTCTTGATCAGTTGGTACTAATCCATTTCCTTCATCACGTGGCATTGGACGACCAAATCCTTCTTCTTCATTACTTGCTGTTAATTCATCATTATGTACTGCAATAAACATTGGTTTATTAGTTTATTGTAGTAAAACTCTTCCTTGTATATGATTTATATATTGTTGTCTTAAAATATTCTCTGATTGATGATTAATCGTAATATTTTGTTGAAAAATTAATTAACCATTATTTGGATCAAATAAAAGTAAATGACAATTTTCAGTTTGATTGATTATCTATTGCTTTTCAATCAATAGTTATTATATACCGATCACGAAATGAAGCAATACCTATGAAAAGAAATTTTTATAAAGAATAAAACAAAAATGTTTTGTTTTTTTGTTCAAAAAACCAAATCATATAATTGTTTAATAGATCGATGGCTAATTGTTTGCATATAACGATCATCTGCTTCAGTTATATAAATAGCATCTCTTTCAACAACTAAGATATTATTACGTGCATTAGTCATAACAACACCTGAATGATGAAATTTCATTTGGCAAAAAAAAATCAAAATTGAAATAGAAGTTTATTAATTAAAAATTCGGTTCTTTTTAATACCTGATTATTTGAAATTGTATGTTTAATTGTTTTGTTTGAATATCAAATAATCAAACATGTTGAACAATTCGATGTACATCGCATGAAAAATCAACACCAATTGATAAACAACTTGCTTGTGAACCATTTTATGGTGTACCATATGTTACACAAAGTTCAACACCTAAAATAGGTCGATCTAGAATGAAGAATCTTTATTTATTTCTAGTGAAAAAAATACATTAAGAATATACTTCGATGGAAGAAAAACTGTTGAAGGTTTATCATTTTGAATTGGTAGAATACCAGGTGATAGTGTAATTTTTATTGTTTGAATCGATGCAGTAGGAATATTTCTATTTGTAAGGTGCCCGCAACGCGAAATTCAAGTAAAATTTTGTTTTTGGCTTTTTTCACATCATCTGATAGAGCTTGAGCTGCTGATCACGAATATCTACTTTCTAGCCCTGGTGAATGCTTCCTTCCGGTCGAAAAATACGAAATACTCAAAGGATTTTTTTTCCTTAAAAAAATCACATCTTTTTTGAAAATCAACAAAATGTTCTACTTTACTCTTTTTTTCAGCTTTTGAAAATAATTTTTTCAGATTGAGCATGAAAAACTGATTACAGACAAGTCGTTAAATCGACTCTAGACACAAAATTCTATTGGTGGTGGCGCTTCGAATCAGGTCGGGTAAGCTGCATATAGGTCGATTTTGTAATCCTATCTAGTTTTTCTGTGTAAACGATGGAAGCAAATATTTTATCTCATTCGGCACATCATACCATGTATTACAAAGTTACGCATCGTTTTTTTCTCTTTCCTTTCTTGTGTCGAGAAAAATTGTTTTTCCTGTATGATACAAAAAAGGGGGAGGTCGTTTTCGCATAAAACATTTATTTTTTATTTAAATCAGATGAAAATTTGTTGACATAGGTAAAAACTGATGAGGAATCTAATGGGAATACTTTGAAGATCTTTCGAGGATCTTCAAAGGATCTCTAGAAAACTTTTTCTGGAAAAAGCATATTATAGGTGAAAATGTTTATAACGTATGCGTTTCTTTAAGATAGTTTCATTTGCAGTTGACCTTAGTTATTCTGGTATGCCTAAACCAAGTAAAAGGAAAAGTCAATCAAATGCGGCATCAGCTGGCCTCTGGTCAAAGACAAAGATCCCGGATGTAAGCAGTCCATAAAATGTAAACATTTTGGATGCAAACGACCAATTCAACGCAAATACTTCGGATTCAAGGGACTCTTCAGATTCCGAATATCGGATGGATACTGATGACATAGAATTAGATTTTAGCGAAGAACAATTGTTAACCGACATTGGCGATCTTGCTGAAATGTGTAAGTCGAAATGTGGAACGAAATATCTAAGTACTTTAATTTATATGTCATTACGTTCCTTCAACATTAAATGGGAAGCTGTCGATGCATTTTTCAAAGATACTGGTTTGATGACAGCCCAAACTTCTCATCAATGGGCAACAATATTTATTACAGGAGATTACGAAGAGTTTTTGAAATGATCTACGTGGTGATAAACAAACTGATTCATTTTATGATACGTTTCCTGATATTGAAGGGCATGCGAAGCATTCGTTGTCCACGCATGCTCACAAAAATCAGCAGATTTCAAAGCGATGGATCTGGCTCAGTTTATTGATGAAAAATATTATGAGGTAACGGGAATTATAAAACAAAGTGGCGATGATTTGATAAGATCGGAAAGCAGTTGTCGTTTGGATCTTCGTAGATGGGGAGCAAAATTCGAAGCAAATTCACAACGTCCATATTTTGAAGGACACGAACGAGACGATGTAGTAAAACATCGTACTGAATTTATTAATTACTTTCTAGCACATAAAGATTCTTATTACACAATTACTGATGGTGAAACACCTATGTGGAAGATTCCAACTCAAATTCCACATCGAATACTTATATGTAAGCACAGCAATCAAAACTTGTTGAGTATAATTTTTATTATATTCTTTTTCGTGTTTATCTTTGCTAGTTCATGATGAATCAACCTTTCGGAGTGGTGAAGTTAGCCCTAAACGCTGGCTTTTCAAAGAAAATATACCGTTTTTTTCAAAAGGTCGTGGTCGCAGTCATATGGTTTCAGATTTTCTCGTCCAACATCCTAGTGGACTATTTTTTCAGCTTCCTGAGAATGAATGTAAACAAGCTGTTATGAAATATAAATCATTGAACGTCAATAGTGATGTTAATTATCTTGATCGCACAGCAACAGCTAGTATTAATATTGGAACAGACGCGTATTTCGATAATGATACGATTCTGGGACAGTTTGAGAGACTATTTCAAATGCTAGAATTCAAACAAGAATACAAGGACAATCAGATAGAAATTATCGCGGACAACGCAAGAACTCATACTACTAAATCGTATTCATTGCAAGACTTTGGTAAAACCATTGGCACTCGTTGTCCGGTTGAACAGATTGAATATGTTGATGAAAATAACAGAAAAAAAGTTATTGATTGTTATTTTAAAGAGGGAGAATACAAAGGTAAATCAAAAGGTTTAGTTCAACTATGTAAAG